ATTTGATACTACTGGTTATAATACGGTATGTGTATTGATTGATATAAATTCCTTTACTATTGATTTAATACTACTGGTTATAATATGGTATGTGTATTGATTGATATAAATTCCTTTACTATTGATTTGATACTACTGGTTATAATACGGTATGTGTATTGATTGATATACTGTACAATGTAAAATTTTCCATCCATTGTATTTATGTGCTCTAACAAAGAGCTCCTCAATCTCATATATGTTAACAATTTTTGTAATCTTAGAATTGTACTAGGATCCTCCATATTCAGGATAACTGTGGATCCTGAACACCAAAAGTATTTCGAGAGATATGTTTCAAAGATATCGATTGGATAGACGATATTGAGCGTCATTGGATTTCTATTTCATGTTCTTATCGTCCAGTAGTTTGTCATATCGAAGTGCGTAATTGCTGAATTCGTTGTTTATTAATAGATTTATCGTAGTAAAGGTTTAATTATTCAAGTTTAAGTAATGCCAATAAAAGAGACAGGAAGAATCCTCAATCTTTGTCGAAGAAAATTAGCACCCATCACTAAAATCATCCAGAAGCTTTGCTTCCAGCTACTTGTTCAACACTATTTTTTGATCCAATAAATATTCGATCTCACAAATTAGCAGTAAAGATCCATCATGATTCTTATATTTTGTGTAATCTAAAATTGTTTGATTGTTGATTTTTACACTGATAATTTCTAAAGCAAAATTTTTATAGATTTAGTTGATCTGGAAATTGGAGGTTGAGTTATTTGTTTCATATCTATTACAGGGCACTTCTAACAACGTTTTACATCAAAAAAAAAAAGACATTTTAGAAATTGGTTTCCTGCTTTCTCTTTACCGTAAATTTCAATCATCCAAGCTACTGCTAAATAACAAATCCGAATCACCCCGCGATTTTATTGATCGGTAAAATCTTCGATATCTCTTTACACTTTTAGCCTTTTTTCAGCTAGTATTTAACGTGTAAACTTTAATTTCTACCACTGTCGAATCTTCACTATGCTGCTACAAGATTCAATATATTTCTCAGTGAATATGACGCTGTGCAAGAACAAAACGTAAATAATTATTACTTTTAGGCCTTTAATTTAAATTTAAATTCAAATGCCATCTTGATTAGATCGTTATTCACTAGACCATTTAGTACAGTTAGGACGAAATAATAATATTGATTAATAATACATATTGATCAATACATATTGATTTTTTAAATAATACATATTGATTAAATAATACATATTGATCGAATTACCATGTTTAATTAAAAACAAATGGATAAACATATATATATATACATATATATAATCGATAAATTTTGAAATCCCAATACTTTTACTGCATTAAAGCACTTATTCTTTGACTAATGCACTTTTATGGTTTAATTAAGTGGAATTTCAAAATAACCAATCACCGTATTAAAAATACAATAATTTTCAAAGCATAATGCTAAAACTACGTGAAAAATCTCGGTTTACTTAATAAGTAAAGACATTGGAATTTTGATTTAATCACTTGCATATACTTTGGTGCCACGAGCCGGGAAACAATGTCATTCACGATAATACAAAGCGCAAACCCGGCGAAGAAGAAATTAATCAAAGTCCTTAATGAAGCAAAAGAATTGGATCTGAGATCATTCGACAAGCAATTACCTCATCAAGAGTTATACGAACTTTATGAAGCACGAAAAGGAAATCAAAGAAATGATAGGAAGAATTGAAGGACATGTGGGAGTGTTGGAATGCATCAACAAAGAATGGAGGGATTTTATTTGAACGATTTCTCTTCAACAGCAGAGGACAGAAAATAGAAAGTACGCGGAAATGACAGAAGATAACCAAGGAATATTAAACCTAATAAGTTGCGGGATGGGAGCAGTGGCAACTCTGAAAAGACATGAGGACGAGAGTTTGGGTAATATCAGATCAAAGGGGAAGTTCGCGAGCGGACTGTCACAACAAGAGAGGTAACGTTCAAGTACCTCAGAGAGCGACAGTCAAATTGCCTCAACTGCAACTGCTAGTGTTTGGCGGAATCCTCGAAACTGGAGTGGCTTTGAAACAGCGGTACATAATCAGGACCTTCCAGACAACCAGAAGCTCAATCATCTTATTTCGTGTATATGAGATGAAGCATTACAAGCAGTCAGAGGATACGAAATCACGTCGGACAATTACAATCTTATTCGAGAGATATTGATAGAAAAGTACAGTGGTACGCATACTATCATAAGTTTGTTTTATAACGACCTTTTCTCAATCAGAAAAAAATAATCGTGAGTGGAAAAAAACAATCGAAAATACAGAGAGATTACTCAGACAATTGCAGGAGTTGGGAGAAAATTTAGAACATACAAGTTTACAAGTTATCGAAAGGAACTTGCCAAGACATATCCTGATTAAAGTTCATGAGCAAAGACTGAAAGACAAATCTTGGTCAGTAAGCAAGATGAGACAGTTCCTAAGACAGCTGATGAAGTTAGAGAAAGATGTAGCTCAAAATCAAACTTCTACTAATGAAACCGAGAAGAAGCCAACTCAATCTACCATGAATCGACAGTTCCGAAATGGCGAACAATTCAGAAATGAAACGTCGGTCTTAACGATAGTTAAAGCCACTGGATTAGAAAGATCCAACTTTGAAACAACGACTAGAGCATTTGAGTGAAATTAGCGCCTGCCTAAAATTCATAAAATTAGGCCATACTGCAAGCAATTGTAGAATGAAAATGACACGATGCTTCCACTGCAAGGTGCCTCACAAATCAGCATCATGCAACAGACATAATACGAACGCTATTCGGACGAACAAAATAAGGGAAAAGTGAAAGCAATGTATACACCTAATTCAGTGACTGATCAAAAGGATCCACAAGGAAGAAGGATTTTACTATTGTGTAAAGAAGTTAGCGTAGTCAATTCCGAAGCTCCAGAGAAACACAAGCACTAGTACTATTTGAGCATTCGTTGTTATTCGTTTCAAAGGGTTTTAGCGGATCGACTAAGTCTGCAGGGAATTATGAAAGAAGAAATAAGCATCGCTTCGTTCGGCGACAAATTACCGAAAAATTACTACTACACAAAGGCGAAAATTGGCATAAAGATATTGGGGAAAGAGATCATCACTTGCGAAGTGCATATTAAGGATTATCTAGCAAATAAATTGCAAGTAGTGCAGGTAAATGAAAAGGATATATATCATTGACGAAGTATGATCAATTATATGGCATTGGAAACAACCTGATGTACTTCTCGGCAGGAATTATTTGGACAACATCGAATGGAGCAAAACGCAAGAACTGAAATTAGGATTTCCCTTGTTTCAGACAAAAGTTGGACAAATACTGAACGGAACTGGACATGTAAATAATATTAGGAGCACGAATGCAACATCAATCGAGATTGCCGTAACACACAAGATTAAAGTAAATAAGGACCATGACACTGATCATTTTTGAAAGTTGAAACTCATTGGCATTCAGGATCAACCCGATGAAAATGACGACGAGTAAGCTCTAAAACAATTTGAGTACTGTTGACAGAAAGAGAGATATCAAGTCAGATGGCCATGGAAAGAATCAAAGGATAAATTAAGAAGTCATTATGGACTCTGCGTCGGATACCTCATGACATTAATCAAGCGACTAGAGAGAGAATAATGAAATATTGTTCACACAGTATGATAAAACTATATGAGATCAACTTAAA